CAGGCTGTGCTTGGTCGCAGCTTTGTTGGTTCGGGCACAAGCGATGGCAGGGGTTGGTCCCTCTTCCCCCGGAACCGGTTGGAGACGTGGGGCTGGTTGCTTTTGCCATGAGCAAGCGAGGCAAGGCCGGCTTGGTGTAAATAACATGGGCTAAGCCTCTTGGAGTGACGTATGGGCTCCAGTCCTACTAGGCCACCGTGTCAGCAGCTTCTGGCCCTGCTTGAAAACGATGCAGAGGGTCATTGTCATGCCACGCGTCACCCCGAGAACAAGCCTAACTGCAGGCGGTGGGATGGGGGAGGTGGTGGCTCTCAAGCATGTCGTCTGCGTGATTGCACTTTTAGGACCATACTACTCCCGAGCACTGGAGGTCCTCTGTGGGTGAGATGTGCTTCCTTGTCCGTAGGCACTGGTGTTGTCTTTACGTCCAAGGAGAAGTCCAGAGCTGTCTGTATTTTCTGTTCTTGGGAGAAATTGTAATTGAAATTCTCCCAGCCTGAAGGAAACAGATGCAACGTGCTAGGTCCAGACAAGCCAAGTGTTGAAGGCACTGGATGAGATACGCATACGCATTTTTTTTCCCCTGAAACCTGGTTTAGCTCCAAGATGAAAAGCTTGACTGTGAGCGTCACTGACTGACGTTAGAGCCCAAAAGCTCTGGGTGGCCGGACCATTTGGGGACATGGGCGGCAACATCTGACCTCCTAATGCAGGGACGCAAGAGCACTGCTGCCCAGGACGCAGCCAGGCTTGACCTGAGGACCTCGAGGAACGGAGGAGCTGCCGTTTCCCCTGGGAGTCTCTTGCTGATCCTGTAACTTTCCCTGAGTGCGGAGCTGGCTCAAGGCTGCCTTCCCTGGCATCGCTCGTTCGGGATAGCTCGTATGCGCTGGCGTCCCTTCTCCTGGTTCGATGGGCCCTTGCCGGAGAGGCTGCTCAGAAGTCGCCCTGCTCTGAGGACAGGTCTGGGTGTCTTCTCAGCTCTGGCTTTGGCCAAGCCCATGGTGCCTCGTCCACCTCCACGTGCTCACCTCCTGCCCGGCAGCCCCAGCGCCGCGGTGGGCAGAGCCCAGGGAGCCCCTCCACTGGTGGGATGCCAGTCGGGAAGGGCGGCACAGTGGGTTAACTGGGATGCAGATGGTGTCACCCAGAGCTGGTCTGGCCCACCAAGAGGCAAGACACTGCCGGTGCCCAGCAGCAAATGCAAGGTCCTCGTTCAGCGAGGGCTGGGGACCTCCCCGCTCCTCACCGGGGTGCGGGCAATGCTCACCTCCTGCCCAGCTTCCCAGCCCCAGCTCCACTGCTAGCAGCCCTGTTAGCCACAACAGCCCCAGGGAGCAGCTGTACCCTCGTACATCTGCACCTTTTCACCTCAGAATTCCCACATCTTCCCCCTTTCCTTGCCAGCCCTGGCCACCGCCAGCATTTGGCGTTGCCCTCTTGGTCCACCCAAGAGCTAGCAGACCACTCTTCCCTGACCTGGGGGTTCAGCTGCTGCTGCAAGGACACCCAGGAGGTGCAGGTGGTGGCTGCGTCTCCTCCGACTGTGACCCCATAATCTCAGGCTTTTGCTTGGTTTGTGTCTCGTGCCTCCCCCGGGCTTTGGCAGGACAAACTGAAGCAGAGGAAGTTCCGTCTGAACATGAGGAAGAACTTCTTCACTCTGAGGGTGACGGAGCCCTGGCCCAGGCTGCTCAGGGAGGCTGTGGAGTCTCCTTCTCTGGAGATATGTATATTTTCCAGCCCTGCCTGGACGCGGTGCTGTGCAGCCTGCTCTGGGTGACCCTGCTTCGGCAGGGGGCTGGGCTGGGTGACCCACAGAGGGCCCTGCCAACCCCGACCATGCTGTGATTCTGTGACCCTGGAGCTGCTTTGGAGGATGCTCTGTGGGTCTGTCTCTTGGATCTGTCTTTCCTGACACTGCCCGGGCTCTGAGCTGGCTCTGGCAGCCGGTGGGAGAGCAGACCTTTGGAGCTAGACCTGCCCCATGGTCAAGGAGGGAGAGGACATCGGTTGGGGGAGGGGCTGTGCCTGGCTGCAGCCCAGGCACAGGGCAGCTCCGCAGCAGGCTGGGGGCCCAGATTACTGAGAAGTAGTTATTTCTGCAAGCAGTTTTGTACCGGGCACAAAGAATCTGGGAGACCCATCTTGGTGCCAGGGTTGTGCCGGGGGACGTGATGGCACTTTTGGCACCGGGAGGTGCATGGCCAGGCAGACGCTCCCCCCGTCGCACGCACCCCGCTCAACCCGTACGCGCGCAGAAGAGAGAGAACGTCCCCACAAAGCCCGGCTCCGAGCACAAAATGGCCCCTGCAGGGAGGACGAGCTCATGGCTGGCCATGCCGCTCTTCGGAGAGCCCCCATCCCCCCCCCTCGCCGCAGCAAACGGAGGGGGCTGGGGG